TTGTTATTATTTTATAAATTAATATTATTTTATTTGAATTATTTTGATTTAATTATTAATTTGTATTTAATTCGGGTATTGTTTGGCTTTTCCCTGAAACACGTGATACGTTACAAAGGATTACAGTATTCGTTTGGTGTCTAATGACAGAAACTACGACCGGAATTTTTGTTTTTGGGCTTCAATAATTATAATGAACGTTAGCTGACCGTTATCACGATTAATAATTTAATAAATATGTTAAAATAATTATACAACATTTGACTGGCTGCTGTAAAATTGTTTATAATTATGTCAAAAATATCCAATACACTTTAGTACGTGTATTGTTATAATGTTATTTTATGTTTTATGTTTCGGCGCAAGCAAATGGAATACCGCTAGGATATCCCTTGACAGTATAAGTGACTAAAAGGGCATTTTGGGTGTACTGGCGATTAGGCTGAGAGCTGTGATTGCCTAATGGAATGAGCCCGTGATGATAGCGATATGAGATGTGTTTCGCCGCAACATTATACGGGTGACAGGAGCAAGCTCATTTGAGGATTTCATCTAAACCTTCCCTCAAAACCCAAAACTTCAGCCATTTAGTTAATACTGCATTATTTGGTATTTTATTTTACAAATTAAATAATTTTATCATAAATTTTGGACCGTGGAAATTCTGTGATCATAAACAATTCATGAAATTCCATTAAGTAGACCTATTACATTATTTTAAGAGTATGCTGCAAGACTTCTAGGATCATTCCAAATGTCCATTCGGGCTTCTTCAGGAAACTTACTTCTTTATGGTTAAGTTTCTTCGTTAGACTCGACACATTAAATTTCATCCACACCACCTCGACGTCCAGCGTTCCACAACAGCGCGATTTACCAGGCATTTCCTGCCTCGCACAACCACTCTGTGGAACCAGCTGCCGCCGGCGGTCTTCCCGGACCGTTAGAAAGAAAGAAAGAAAGAAAGAAAACATTTATTGCTCAAATACGCCACATGTACATTTAAACCATAAACAAAAAATACATTCTAAAAAGAAAAAAGAAAGAAGAATAAAAAAAATATTAAACACATCACACATTTTACGCACACAATTGTGTGTGGCGTATACGGCAAACAGACCGCACTCAGCATAATGCCGCAGTCGATACGAGACTACAGCGCTGGTTTTCAGTGGGCCTGTGAATTAAGTGACGTATGGACGTCCACACCGTCATTCAAAGACTAATAATAATTAACATAGATTACATGAATGAAATAACTAATCTAATGGAAATAAATAGAAAAAGAATGTCTGAAACATTTTAAAAAGCATTGTTATCACCATAAGAGTCATGTATATTATGAGGAGTTGGAGTTGGACATAATATAAAAGATATACTAAATGATGGTACCCTACAAAAATATTTTCTCACAGGTATGTAATCATAATCATAATCTTAAGCAACAATATTATCATTAGAAACAATATTTTAATAAAGTCAATAATTAATAGCATGATAAAAATATTTTTTTTCTCAGCATTTACGTGTAAAAAAAAACAAGTTCTATGCACTGTCATGTGCTTTTCGTATGAACCCGCCGCACAGCGCTAAGTGTCTGTAATTATTTAGGTAGGTAAATATCACGCCATAGCTTTTTGAACATTAATTAGGTGAGCTTTATATTTTATTTTAAATGTATTTAATGTTTTCAGACTACGAAGCGGTGGCGGCAGGTTATTCCAGCATTTAGAGGCAGAATATTTGAAACTTCCACGAAAGCCGATGGTACGATGGTAGGGAACAACCAAAGAGTAACATGACGAGCGAGTGATCTTTGATTGTACGTCGCGAGACCATACTAATTTGTGATATAGATAAGGTGGTATATTATATTTAATTAATCCAAATAGAAATGTGGCTAGGTGGTGTTCTCGACGATACTGCATTTTTAAAATACTGTGCTCGTTTATGTACGGCGTGACGTGAGCGCGTGGAGGTATTTTAAAGCAAAAATCTCGCACAGGCATTCTGCACCCTCTGCACAAGTTTCTTACTACGCACAAGCAGACGAGGGCCATACACTATATCCATATAATTAAATTTAGACAAAATCAAAGAATCGCACAGTCTTATCCGCATGTCGGTATTTAGGCAATTTCTAATTTGATATAATACTTTTAACCTATAAAAACATGTTCTTGCAGTATTTATTATGTGACTTTCAAAGCGTAACTTGTCATCTATTAACAAACCCAAATTGCGAGCCTCAGTCACGCGTTCAATTCGTTCGCTCCATATGGTTACCTTAGCTTCGTGTTTTGCTATTTTTTGTATTTGCTGAGCCGTACCTAGAATCATATATTTAGACTTGCTTCCATTAAGGACTAATGCGTTCGAATCTGACCAAGCTGCAATTCTTTCGAGATCGTCATTTAATTTTTCCACCGCTAATTTAGTCTCCCCCGGTTTACAAGGTATATAGATCTGTGTATCATCCGCGTACATATGGTATTTGCAATGCTTAATACAATTTGTTATATCCGCACAATACACGGCAAACAAAATAGGTCCTAGGATAGATCCCTGCGGAACTCCTTGTTTGACAGCCTGAGCGTTCGAAATGACTGGTAACCCATTTTCGTCTGATATTTCTACTTGCTGTATACGATGCTTGAAATAACTTTCGAACCATTTTATCGCAGATATGTCGAAACCGTAGTAATGTAATTTAGACAAAAGCAATGGCACATTAAGACAGTCGAATGCTCTGGAAAAATCTAGCAAGGCTAAAATCGTTCCTTTGCCACTGTGTATATCTGATAGTACATCGTCGACAACGTTTATCATAGCGGTTGACGTACTGTGGTGTTTTCTAAACCCTGACTGAAGACTAGGAAGCACATCGTTGGTTTCTAAGTATATTCTTACCTGCTCAGCCACGACTTTCTCCAAAATTTTTGATACACAGGGGAGTATACTAATGGGGCGTATGTCCTTCATGCTAATAGGATTTGAGTTTTTGGGTATAGGCCTGATAAGTGCGTGCTGCCATTCTGAGGGATATGTTTGCGTTGTAATTGATTTATTAATTATCTCCGTAATAACAGGTATTGTTACGGGAAAAGACATTTTCAACATATCCAAGGAAATACCGTCTGCACCTACCGCATTTGACTTTAATGACTGTGTTATTTTCACAACATCACAATAATCGGTTTCGGTTTCGGTTTTTTTATATTTAATTCTCAGCAAATAAATGCATGACCGCTTAGTTCCGGTATATGATTCACAGATGTGAATGATTGTTGAACGTCTGTACATACTACGTCTATTAGAGTTTCACTGTATTCCGTGAAATGGGTAGGCTCAGTAACACACTGATTTAATTTATAACATTGTAAAAAAAATTTTCAACTTCTTACAGTTATTATCCATATCATTTAATAAATTTATATTGAAATCGCCTAATAAAACTACATTATTACACCATGAGAATGTTCCGAGAGTTTCCGATAAAGCATCGAAAAAAATGTCAACACTCAACCACGGCGGTCTGTAAGCAGTACCAATTATTAATTTTGTACCGTTAATTGTTAGTGTAAGCCACATTTGCTCTACGAGTGGGGCTGGGGGGTGCGGTAGTGTGCGAACTGCAATGCCCTGACGTGTGTAGAAGCCGACTCCACCTCCGCGCGAGCGCACGTCGGAAGGGCGAGGAACGTGACGTAATCTATAACCGGGCACCGTTGGCGCGCCCCTCCTCGCCCTCTCGCAACCAGGTTTCATTAATCGCCATTATGTCGACAGAATACCGATCCATTGCTACGAGAAATTCGTCATGTCCTGTACCAAGAGATCCCACGTTAAGTAAGCCTAACTTAAGATTTTGTTTAGAATTGAATGAATGAAATAATAGTCAAAAATACTATGCTTGTGCAGCAACGAAGCGAGAAAAAATACCTACGACGAGTGCTCTTAAGATTATGATACGCTAATATACTTTTTATGAAGCTCAATGTTTTAAAAATGTATATAATGTAATTAATCATCAATAGAATAGAATTATTATTATAACTTAAACATTTTCCTTTAAAAATAACTGAAATATATAACTGTTTTAACACGAATTAATGGTTTTAATTGTAAATAATTATAAGTAAACATGTAAGTAGCAATTCGAAACTCAGCCTTTACCATCGTACCATCATAGCCATAACACGTCCTGTAAATATTTGTATACATAACATTATGAATAATTAAAAATATGGTTATAACAAATCTTAGTAGTAATAATTTTCTTATAAACAATATATTTAGACTTTTATTTTTTACTTTATGCAGAGCTGCTAATGCAAACAGTATTTGACTGAAAAACACGAGTAAAGTCGTCGTCTGTGCCGATGCAGTAAACCGGTTTGCCCTCTGCTTGGCGAGCGTAGACTCGACCCCGTCTTGTCCAGGAGTAGCGCCACGAAAGCTTTCGACAGACTTCACGGACCCTATGGAATAGCTGCCGATTGTACCTCGTCAGGCGCTCGTTTACGTAGAGGCGTTGGGGCGAGGAGGCCAGCCCGATGTCCGCGGTAGTGATTGAGCAACGCACGCGGGCAGCGCGCAGCAGCTCGTAGCGCAGGCTACGCCGCGCCAGCCGCACCACCACGCGCCGCGCTCGTATCGCTACGCCTCCTTCCGTACTAGCGCTCAAAGACAGTGGCGCCGCTCCAACACGCTCCGCAAAGACGACGTCCCGTTCTTCCAGCGGTACCCCTAGCCTTACTGCCAGAACAGATATGGTGTGGATGATATTCTCCCCTTCTCCTCAGGTAGATGTCCGATCTCAAGATCCGAAAGCAAATCAAGAGATGCCGGTCATTGAGCTCCTGCTTTAGTAAATTAACTGTTTTCTCTAACTCATTGACCTCCACTTTGGTAGGTGTATGCATCTGCTCGATTACCTCCAGCCTTCGTTCAAAGCCATTCATTCGCTCCGTGAAACATGCAACGGATGCATGGAGTTATGCCATTTCCTTGCGGAGTTCTCGCATCTCGACCATGCAGGCAACAAGTTGGCGGCTAAGCTCTCGTGCAGGGGAATCATCTTCGTTCAAAGCAGTTTTCTGAGGTCCATCGCTACATGGCGGGCTCCTGATCATTTGAGGTTCTTGAGTGGTGTTTCCGGAGATACCTCTTACAGGGGTAGAGCTGTTATCACCCTTTCTTGACTTTTTTTTTGCATTCTGGGCATACCCAATCCTTGCTTATCGCTGTTCCATCAGACACCATTAGACATGCCCTATGAAATATATTTGGACAGACTGTACAACTAACGCCACCTGTCGACGAGAGGAATTTGCCGCAAGCTCCGCACTTTGCCATGTCGTATTTATTTTAATTACTAATTAAATGCCGAAAGATGTCGTTAATGTTACTGTTCCTTACTGGTCACCAGATGGTTCTGAGGTGCTGCCTACAATCCACTGAGATTAATGAAAGGAGACAATATTAATTACACAGTGAAATAAACACACAATTTTTTATACAATTACTTATCCACTGCAATCCACAACGATAACACAGCTCCGTTAAGATATCTGAACCTTTATTTTAACACAAACAAGTGAGAATATACTCAATAACTATTTTTACGAATAAAAAATACAAGAGATTAAGTTGACTGTATGCCGTCCGTAACGTCACCTCCCGTCCGTAACGTCACGTCGTTACGACCTGGGATTCTTCAAGAAAGAGCACATTCTTTCCTAAAATGCCGGCAATGCATTTGCAAGCCATGTCATGTGCCAGAACGTCAATTTGTGAAGAAAAATATACAGTTCAATGAATTATTTGCAATATGCTATTTTTGGGCTAAACGATGAAGAAAGGTTTATACGTAGATGTTAGTACGTACGTGCGGTACGTACTTGTCTGAAATTTTATTTCGTTAAACTAAAGGAGATAGTGAAATTGAAGGCTCAGATTTGTGGTGACAATGGTCGCCACCCATAAACACCATATAGGTAGCAATAGTTATCTTTGTTTACCCCTTTGCGATTGAAAGACATGGGAGTTTGTGGAGTGCAATCAATGAAACTCTTTTTATTTAGTTACTTAGTCATTTTCATTTGTACTTATAAACCGAGGGTGAAAAAAGAACTTGTGGTTGCCGTTTACATTACTTTCCGCAGAGTTTAACTCGAGTATACATTAGTTTATGAATACGGAATGTCGATTATTGTTTACTTTACATATATTTTAATATTGTGTTTGTCTGAGAGGACCGTAACTGCGCTATTTGAAAACTTATTTCAATTAAAAATTTAACGACAGCGGATGAATGACACAAAAATGATTAGTGTAGGTATGTGTTATTCATGAGAGAAAAAGTTTGTAATTTAATAAATTAAGAAAAAATCTCCTATATTCGCTTCATATTAGCGTTACAATAAAAAGCGTGGTTTTTATTGTATAAAACTTGACCCTGATGACATTAAACAATAAGGCGACCGTATCCATTACTTGAAAATAAAATTTTTCTTAAGTTACCGGTCTTTCTTATAAAACATAAAAATCATCTGTCAGTCGTTTTAATAAACACATTTGACATATATTATGTTTTAAAATTTGTACAGCTGCATATTTTCAAGAATTGATATATAAAATATTTGCTAGCGCTCTTGCGTTCACAAAGCAATTTCATAACGTTTGAATAAACGCGACCGTTCCTCAGGAGCGTGTAATTCTTGCAAAATGTACGAGCGCCGCACTCATACGTTCCTCTTTTGCAGCTTCAAAGGGAGTAACTTTAACCGAATCGAGATGCCGAGCTTGCCTGAACCTGTTGCAATGTTATCACGCCGTCAGCACCGAATATTCCTTAATAGTGTTCAAATATTTAGCGGCACTAAAAGCAATGTTTTATTTATTTATTCAACCTCTTTGGCACATAAACTGAAAATACATACATACATAACATAAACTAAAATGCACTCGACGCGTCATCACATAGAAATTCAAAACTACTATAAACAAGCACATCAAAGTTAATGATTAAAAATCAAAATCATTTTTTTTAACTTATTTATTAAGAGACCTATTTGCTATATTTTCACTCTTTTGGAAGAATTCATGTAAAAATTTTACTCCTAAATTAAAGTTGATATGAATGTATACTATGTTTTGTTACCTGGGTGGGGTTGGCAAAACAAATTGATGTTGTTATTAGTATTGGCTAAGGATTTTACTAACGATTACTTGCCTTACGGCAATCCTCCTTGCGATTAAATACAGATCCAGAACATTTAACTATGCGTCACACAAATATAATTGTCCAGTATGGGAATCGAACCCACGCCCTGAGGCCAACGCCAGCAGTGACTGCGCCATCGAGTCATCCATCCTGTTAACTAACATCAAAGTACTATAAAATTCAAAAGTCTTTCAAAACATATTTCTTGAAAAACAATTCATTCAAGGTTTATACAAGAACTGGGAAAATAAATCTTTTTAAGCAATACCATTTTACAATGTGCACAATTTTCGAATAAGGTATTTACATTACTTCTCATAGATGAAATATCTCGCGGAGTGGGTGGTGGTGCAAACTAAAGAGTCTTCATCGTCATCTTTTTCTTTATTGAATGACGATCTCGTCATCAGTCCGTAGACTATTAAACCTCATCGAAAATATAACTCGTGGAACAACCCGGTTCTACGAGCTTTAAACAACCAGCCTTCTCGTTGTTTAGCTCGATTTGTTCTACTAACTTAACATATTCGAAAAGTTCGGAAACTGGAATGATAATTCACGAATTCGCAATTGCCTCGAATCTGTCCCAATAGTCCAGATACGAAATACCTTTGTTTTCGCCCATCGGTTTAGAAAATATTTTCATTTTTTCTGTGAAAATTTCTCAACGGTTATGTAAAATCTATTCAATATTTATTATCTATTTAACTAACAACTAACATTTTTAATGTTTTTATTACATATTGATTGTGATGTTCAGAAAATAGACGTGGTCGTATGCCAGGCACCCTAACACATTTCATGAAAGATATTTTTAATGTGAATAAATTCTAACTCGATCGTTGGTATAACGACCTTACACTTCGCTCTCCTCATACACTTCCATTTTTTTATGTTAGAATGTGGTGGTGTTTCACCTGACGTTAAGCGTAGTAACGATAGAAAGCGTGGAAAAGTAGAAGTACAATAATTTCGCGTTTTGTCTAATGAGTGTGGAAGCCGGAGCAAAATTTCCAAAAGGTTGTCAACGCATCTGCAACCCTGGTGGTTATTCACTTTACTTCAGGTGAACCGCCTGCTCGCTTGGCATTTTTCTAATAAAAAAAAAACAAAAAGCATGCTATTTATTTATATACGAGTATATTGTAGCGCTCGTATTATTTTCTCTTTCTTCTTGTCATTTTTCTCTCAAGAAACGTAGATCTAATTGCTTCAGCGATTAAATGTAACAGGAATTTCATTTTCTTCAAAAATGATTTATTAGGTGTTTGCTAGCGGTCGTGCGTTCACAACTCATTTTCAACACGATTCGAATATCGAATAGATTCGACCTTTCTTCGGGGGCGTTTAATTCTTGGAAAATTTACTTCCCGCACCGCATTCATACGCTCAGCTATGGCAACACTTCAGAGGGAATAAATTTAAACGGAACAAGATACTGATCTCATGTTAAATAGGGTTGCGTGCAGTCAGGCAAACGCGATATATGTTCCTTAATAGTGCGCAAATGGCCAGCGACATTAGAGCTAACGTTTTATTTAGTTATTCAACCCCTTTCGCATCGGTATTCAAATAGTTATTATGCAGAACTGCAAATCTACTAACGGTACAAAAGCTAGCCGATCAAACTACATCCAAGAACTTTGAATCTTGAACTTGTCTTTGAACTTGACATCGATTATTATTGATAACATCGATTAGCATGCAGTATACAACAACAAACATATCCAAAACGCCAAATTATCTGAAAAGTACCTATAATGTTCCTGTATAATCCGTATGAGGGTCGTTGAGAGCGCGTGTATGAAGTGCAACATCAGGAAGCCTTGTTAACGAAAATGCTATTACGGATTAACGGGAGTTAGATCATAGCGAACTTTACTTGTGTGTAGAGCTCAGTTTCCGTAATAATTACTAAATACACTTGAAACCCCGACAAAGAACGCAAATCACTATAACCTAAAGCTCCGTCACAAGCTTTTTTTCTTCTTTCATTCAACTAACTAGCCAGTGCTTGACTGCTTTCCACCTGATGGGATGCAGCCATAATGGGGTAACATACTAATTGCTTGTCCCAACATGTATTTTTAAAATTTAGGGTCTTACAAATTTAATGAATACTTGTCTTTTTCTCTTTTTTAAATCTACTAAAATGAAACTATCTACGTTTCCATGACCATTTTTCCCAAATATCCCAGGTGTTGGGACTTTTCACAGTGTGGGCTTCGTGTGATATTTATGAGTAATAACTGATATAAGGATAAATAAGTTATTCAGAAAGAGAGATTAGGAGATGTGGTATGTGAAAGTATAATATTGCAGCCACAGCCTGTCATCGTCATGTTGCGGTTAGAATCCTTAAGAGGAATAACATGATTATATCGTATTTAAAAAAAGTACTTAAAACTTAATTTTACTAAACTTTTATTAATTTATCCGTTTATATAATGTTATTAAATGTTGACGACACTGAATTAATGAACATTTCTAAATTACTGAAAACATTTTCATTACTAATAACTGTCTTAAATATATGAGAGAGTACTCGTGAAGGCTGAAACATCTTGAAAAATAAAAAAAAATGAATATATCTCCGGACTAATATTAACGGACCCTTATTATTTTTTATAGCGGTAATAATAAAGATGAAGTGTTTCGTTAATTCGGTAACTGTCCTACTAAAAAGTCCTTTGTGTAAAATTATTGTTAAATTATTCCCCATGTCTCAGTTCATATTCCACGCGGTGACAGCCGAGCTGAAGAAAACCATGTCAACGCCGAAATGAATGACGAATGTTGTACCGTTAAAGTAATAAACTTACAGTGAACATTATTAAGAACGAACTATTAAGTACAAACAAAATACATATACAAAACATGTATAAATAAATGTGATAATCACTAATATACAATCATATTTTTTTGTAAATTATTCTCAAAATTTTTAAATTAATCTTTGAATCACACAGCACAATACATTTCTTATTACATCTACAGCTTTTTTTGTTCCTAAAATTGTTTATTATTATTTTTTGTCTAAATTTTTTATTTTATTTTGTTTCATTTTTAATAGTTATTTATTGCACAAAATACAAATTAATAATTGATTTATTTGTCATTTTGGTAAGTC